TCTCCAGTGCCTACATGCAGAAAGAAGAGCACGGATAAGACGTCCCGTATTGAGAGACAGTGTGTTAGAAACGTAACATCACCAGGAAGGTCGATCCATCCTGGAATTACATGTAGCATCCTTGCCTTTTTGGAAAACTCTTCTCCCACCAGACGCTTCCTACGACAAAAGTCACAATCAAAGTTCCCTGCCCACTTGTCTGTCACCACAGGAGTCGACATGGAGGGGATAGGTTCATATAAGCAAGCTACGGTGCTTCTGATGGGCCACGATGATATCGTTACAGAGAGGAGCCTGTATGTTGTGGCGTTGACTGTGTACCTAGGTACTTCTCAGTCCGACTTGCTTCGACACTGACACATCGATTGGAATCCTTCGAGACCAATATTAATAGAACGCTTGATGATAGAATGAAAGCCATTTTTAATAAAAAATAAAGCATCCAACCCATGTTGGACCAAACAAGCACCATGTTCAGTCTTTAAAAGATTATTTCGATTCAGACTTGGACGAATTTTTCTATGTTATCCAAATAGCCAGGAGTCACCCTGAACAACACCTTTTCATATTTTCAAACAGGGTCGCATCTGAACTACACCCAACCAATCACCGTACATGGGTACCGGTATGTATCCCTATACCTGGATACCGGTATCTTTCTGTTGGTCGTACCGTACTGTTTCCTCTCATTTGGCCATTTTGTTATTGCCTGCCTTTTATTTTTCGTCTCTGCTTATTGTTGCGGTTGTCCGCTGCTGTAATGGCCCTGACTAAACCAATCTGTGCCCTCAATGCCGTGCCTGCCACCAGACTAACGGTGAAACTCAACTGTCCCAATGCAATATACGTCAAGAGTGGACTACACGAAGCCATATCGATTCCAATGACCAGAGCCAACCCAATGCACCCTCCTGATATCGTCGCAAACAAGGGTATAGACCCCAGGGCCAATGAATGTCGAATAATCAAACCACTTTGCACATAGATTCGGGGAGCCACAGTCCCCACCACATTGAGGACCGTGGACAAACCGAGGGCACAGGCTGCAGAAAAGAAGGATGTAGAACACGCAATAGCGTAGGCATCGTGAAGAATTTTGGCTTCCGCGGATGGTGTCAGTGGGAAAAGCCCTGTTCCTTTGAGTAAAGAAGTCAAGACGGACGACGACTTGCAGTCTTTGTCGTGTTGTTGTGGTTGCGATGGAATATTGGCCAAAGCAGCTGCACTCAAGGCGCACAGCAAGGTAGAGACAACGGCAAATCCTTCGGTATATCGATCAATTCTTTCTGACAAGATAACTGGATCCCTCTGCGAAACAGCATCAATCCATGGATTGATGAATCTCCGGACAAGAAGACCCGATCTGGTTTGTTCCTTTTTGCTTGTGGACGTTGGGGACGTCCAAAACTGACGACAGCTTGTTAGACAAATGGGTTGGACTTGCCTTGATTGGCCAAGAAGCGAACGAAGCTTGCGGCAGGAAACCTGCAATGTCGAAATACTCTTCATGTCGTTGGCTTTACGGGTTTGCTAGCTAGCTAGTTAGAGGGAAGCTGTTGTTGACGATGAATGGGTTGTTCGCAAACATGCAGCACTGCACCCAACATCTCCATGTCCTGCTTCGATCTGTCTGTATCTTTGAAGGTCTCTCGCCATTCAATCGTGGATTCAACTATTGAGCTCGAACCCTATTTTTTCTACAGAACGTGAACATTTTTGTGACGTGTCAAAGGCGATAGTTCGTGGTTCACGTAGACTTCTACTGGTACCGCTACTCTAGCCACTAGTACGTTAGTAGCCAGTAAGAGGCCCGCTCTTTCTCTTGTAAAACTTCAATCGGAGCTTGATTACCAGTTTCTCTGGTACTGGTACTCTGGTTCCACCACCGGTAATTAATTGTTACACTACAACAAATAGTGCTTTACCAGTGTACTATTAATAATAGTAGAGCGAAGGCTTTCCGGGGGTTAACCGGTTGCTAAATTCATGATCTGTATGTGCTTGCTGGCTTGCTGGTGTGTCTTCCTGTCCCGTCAAATGAATCTCTCATTGGTTCATCTATGCATACATGTATCCAGTCTATCTCTTTTTTTTTTTAAAAGAGGTCTTATTGGTAGCTAGCATCAGAGTGAAACTGCAGTAGACTGCGTCGCACTTTAAATTTCGCTCTTATCTCACCACTATCATAGTACATGTACTCACGGTCCGCCATTCACTCGTGGATCCAGCTTTGAGCTCGAACCCTATTAATGTAATAAAAGAACCGGTTAACCAGTACCGGTTTACCAGTCCCTGTGCTCAGTTCGTTCTGAACCAAAACCTCCCTTGTTCCACACCCAACATCTCGCATCCAACAAACAACGAGGAGCCGGTTGTTTTACAGTTCTACAAAGTCGCTGGCAATGTCCCTGGATCTGCACTCAGGACCAGGCTGTGTTGAGGATAACGGCAACCCCGAAGGGCAAGGGGTAATTGCAAGTGAATTGACCCTTGAATCTGAGAATCCTGCTGCTGCAGATGCTGCCCACGCCTCCAAGGATGCGCAGAGGCAACCAAAGGTCCCAGAAGGTCTTGACCCAAGCTTCTTCTGGTTGTCAGATGAGGAGAAAGAGAATGCTTTGGATATCAAGGAGGCAATTGAGAGCTTACCAGACCTAGACAATCTATCTGACTTTATGTATGCGAATATGGCTCTTGTGTGGGATGTAGCCACAGCAGTGGAACATGCGTACATATTGCAAGAAGTCAGAATGGAGTACAAGGTGCCCGTAACATTCGAAGATGGTGTCCGAGCATTGACGGAGTTGTTTGAAACAATTCCATTATACTTTCTGTCTTACATGTTTGATCTAAGGGCAGCAAAGTCTGTTTTGGTGATGGACTTGAGTTCAATAGGTCAAAGGTTGATGAGAGACCCAAAGAATGTTGAAAAAATAATCCGCGGAGCCTCCTACGTTTGCTATGCCACTATACCTACCTTGGATATTGTGAGGAAAGGCAAAAATGATATCTTTGAATTTGGAGAATTCCAATGGGGAAAAGGTATGGTTGATTTGAAGTGTGTGGAGCAAGTTACTGTCCAGACCATTGGGGCATTTCCCGCCAATTTCCAAGCGCACTTCTACCATACTCCCATGATGGGTACGTACATGCTTTTAGATTTTCTGACTGACAATTATAGCTCTCGTGATCGTCACATCATTCTCACCCTTGTGCCGGTTTTGTTGCTGTTTTTTGACTAGCAAATGTTTTTGTGTCCATGTGGAAGAAGGTTATACCCAAAGAAGTGGCAGATAAGTTCCATGTTGGGTTTCGATTTGCTGGAGGGAGGCTATCCAATTTCTACTTGCTACCAACACCTGAAGTTGCCACCAAGAAAACCTTGGCAAACCTTATTGCTGGCCTCAAAATTCGATTGGACAGTGAAAAGATGTTCTCGCTTGACGCTGACTATGGATCACCACCAGAGGAAGGGAATATCCAGGATGAGGACTGATTGTGAGATCATTGCCTGTTGATGCTTCGATGTGGCCATTTTGTTGGTTTCAATCCACTCCTGTAATCGCTGGAGACCCCGCTGAATGCATACGTGCTGCACTACGAGCACTCGAGGAAGTATGGTAGCAAACAATAGTTCCTTGTAGTTGCCGCTACAGGAAGTGAGAGAAACTTCCGAGACCCTCCTAGCCGGAACTACCGTACATGTACTAGCAACATGGTAAATTCCACTAGGTCCTACCAGCCATAACGAAGGGGAGAACACATATCGGTTCCTTAATTTCTCGTGCCGGGGGTGAAAGTGAGGACGAATGCCGCAATGGCGCTTTTTAAAGTATTCCTTCTCTGCTTTGACCAATGTTTCGCCCCGCGCCTTCGTTCTGATGCAGTCTATTCTGAACCTCATCAAAGTCCCGATACCTACTTGTTTTATTTTAAAAAGCGCACAAGAGGGTACCAGTATAAGGTTAACCGAAGATGGGATTCTGGTGTGGTCATACCGGTACGCATCCACCGGTGTCGATGCAGCTTGTTGGTTGGTTGGACGATTGCGATATCTCGAAATCGCGGCTACCGTAGCTAGCTACAGTAAGTACAGGATAAAGAAAACAATGGGAAATGGTTCTGAGATTGATTATGGCTAGAGTGCATCAGACCAAGTTGTACGGCGGTAGGAGCTCCAGGAAGAATTCGGTTTCCGACAACAGCAAGCTTTCTTCTCTCGTGGGTTGTTTTGGGCAAGCCATCGACGGGTTTTCAGGCACGAGAGTTTCCGCATGAATGTCATGGTGACTACGAAAACATCTCACGCCGTCATTCAACCCCTTCCTTCGTGGTTCCTACGGTGCCAACCAAACAGTCTCGATACACCCCAACCATTCGAATCGATTCTCAGTATGTATATTGTCGACTGCATAATATTTATGCTTTACTCCATTTCATCCAATAGATCTACAATTTGTTCGGCAATCATGGCTCGCTCTCGTGCCGATTCAGCCTTGCCTTTTCCGGCTCGTTTGCTGTGCAGAGTCTGACCGGTCGACTTGACGGTGACTTCAAAATTCCCCGTGACGCGAACATCTTTGGCACCAATCAGTTCAATCTGATCGGCAAACGGTTGTTTCGAGAGATAGTCTGCAACCCACGGAATTGACGGCCGTAGCCTTTGAAGCAATCGTGAATGAATGGGAAACATGAGATTTTTTGCTTGTCACTCCCATTCATTCATCCCGAACTGGTTCGATTCGATCACTTACCTCATCCACCTCAGTACTGCACCTGAATTTGAAGCTTTCCAGTCATGGTCGATTCGTTTCTACCTGATGGTGCTGATGATAGCGAGAAGACAGAGAGTAGCGGTTTCACAAACTTCATTGCCTCTCTTCGAGGTGTAGAAATTGAAGGGAGTTTTGTGATTTTTCGTGCTGAAACCGTGACACTCAAAGAGGAGCAGCTCAGCAGCTCGAGCTGCATTCTGAGGTTTATCTCCGATACTTCTCCGAACCCTGGATGTGAATAGAACCTCAAAGAAGACATGACTGAGCCACTCCTGACTCCTGCAAGCCGGCGAGAACAAAAATTGTCAACGACATTTCCGTTCAACAGTCACAGAGCAGAAGAGCGGAACGTACGTACAGTCGTATGCAACAGTCAGCGTTTCCGTCCCAAGACACTGCCCACAAAGGTCATCCGGTCCAGGTCCTGTTATTGTGTTGTTGGATTGGTTCTGTTCAAGGGTCTGTGTGGTTTTGAGGCAAGAACTGAATGTGTGAAAGGGAGCCATCATCATCATCATAGATTGAACAAATTGAGAAGAGAGAATTTTGAAGAGAGAAAATTGGATTTGAAAGAAGAGACCATGACTTCCCACGAAATGAACCAGGCCGATTACAAGGTCGTCTCCGAATTACCCGGGAATGACAGTTGTGTTGATTGCGGAGCGAAACATCCAGAATGGGGTTCCATATCCTTTGGCATCCTCTTTTGTGCTTCCTGCAGTGGAGGTCATCGGTAGGTTGTCGTTTTGCTCAAGTGTCTTTCAAAGTTGACGTTGAGGTGCTGACTTGTTTCTTGGATCATTCTTATTACTTGTTGCTGTGGGGGTTTCTTCTGACGAACGATGAATTCACGACAATTCGCTTATCACCGTAGTGGCCTTGGAACTCACATTTCCAGAGTCAGATCCATCAAAATGGACTCGTGGACCGACGCTCAAGTGGAACGGATGAAACGAGGAGGCAACCATCAATGCCAGGAATTTCTCAAGAGCCACGCAATGGACTTTGACAGGAAATCCATTCGCGATCGCTACGATTCTCCGGCCGCCGACTTGTACAAATCCGTCTTGGATGCTCGCATTGCGGGCACACCCGAACCCACCGAGCTGCCGGTCCGTTCCAGGCCCACACCACCCAACAACAGTGCTACGGGAGGAGGAGGAGTCAAGAGGAAAATGGAAGGATTTGGGAGCAGTCCCCCTCCGCAACAAAGACATGACGGGAAAGGGATGAAAATTGGAGCGTACGTTGTGGCATCCGCCTTTGTTGCCTGGTATCTCGTCAAAGACAAGGACAAGAAATAGAACACTGTTGGGTTATTATTGTTTGTTTTTGGTGTGGGAGAAAATCATATGTATTTGATCGCTACTGCCTGTTGCTACCTTCTTTCCTGCTTCTTCTGATGACGCTTGTTGTTGCATAGATGATTGTTAAAATGGGAAACGGCTTGAACGAAATTTTGCATACTCTGGATTACATTTCTTTACTGACATTTCTGTGCTTTCCTGATATTATCATTACACCGTAGGTTGTTGGCCAAGATTTTTTGTTGCTTTCGTTGCTGTTTTGAGCCCGAACGACAAATTGAAGGCGGGGTGGTGGGACCTTAGTTTAGACATCCGTCCATCTCTTTTTGGAGGTTGGCCCAATCAAACTCTGGATTTGCTTTCAAGGCTTTGAAGCATGAAGATGATGAGCAAAGCCGAGAGCCGCCTGTACAATAAGCAAAATGTGGAACTACATGTACGATGATAAGATATGCTCTCCTTCCTGAACCTGGTTTTCCCGTTTTAGTTGAGATTGGGGAATGCACTGCGCGATGGTACCAGTACCATTACGGGACAAGGACCTGACTCCAAACTACGATGTATCGTCAACGCATGAGTGACATCGAAAGCGGCAGAAAACCCTGGAGTAAATTTAATTTGTACCTTTCTATCTGACTCTTGGTTGGGCTCTGTAGTCTGCTTGACTCGGCGGATTTTGACTTGATAATTACATCCCCATTCCGGGATATCGTTCCTCTCTCTGTCGTGGTGCACACTTGATGATATCATCCACACGGACAATCATCTCGGCAGCTTCGCTGGCACTCATCAGAACATTGAACTTGGATTTGTAACTTTCTAGGACTCCCAATTCGGTCATATCGGCAATGGTGCCATTGTACATGTCCAATCCGTAGGTAGATTTTCCCTGGGCATGAGCCGCTCGAAGCTGTGTGATCAATTCCGCCGAATCGTATCCGCCATTGTCAGCCACAATGGCCGGTAGAGCCCGGAGCGCCTTGGCAAAGGCGGCCATGGCCAAGGCTTGTTTTCCCGGGGTCTCTTCCACCGCACGATCAATGGCTTGAGCCATCAGAACTTCCGTACATCCTCCTCCACAAATGACACGGGGATCCTCAAGCGTAGCCAACAAGATACAAAGGGCGTCATGAAGGGAGCGCTCGGCTTCTTCCAAGACATGTGTACTGGCTCCACGCAACACGATGGTGCAGGCTTCTCCTACCTTGCATCCACCAAATCGCAAAATTTTATCTTCTCCAATAAAGATCTGGAAGATGATATAAGATAGATAGATGAAGGATGAGGAAATGAGCCAATGACAAAAGCTCCGCCCAAACAAAACAAAAAAAGGCTCCAAAACTCACCTCTTCAATGACATCACATTCTCCCAGCTTGACCAGTTCGGGATGATCGAATGTGGAAGCGACTTCTCCTCCCGTGACGGCCGCCAATCGTTCAATACCTTCAAAATCGGCATGTTCAATGGCCATGATGCCATGTTCGGCAAAGATCGACTCGGGGTAATTGTAAATCAATTGTCGATTGATAAAGACGTTGGCATTGTGTTTCAGAATTTTCTCCACCTTGTCTTTCATTTTGTCCTTTTCGGCCCGTTCAATTTCGGCCACCTTATCCAAACGATCGACTTTAACACGAGAACCATACATTTTGATCTTGTCCGTGTCCATACTGGTGTTGGCCAACAAGATTTTGGCATTTTCCACGCGTCTAGGTTGTCCAATTCCAGGCGATTTTAGATCCAACAAGAATCCCTCTTCTAGATAGCTGTCCTTCAAACTGCCACCCGGTTTTTTGAGGACTTGAATGAGATTCAAATTACGAGGAGCACCATCTTTGGCACTGAGACGCATAACGGCGTCCACCGCCAACCTGGCAAAATGTTTCTTTTCATAAGTCACCATTTTACTGCTGAGTGTGGTTTCCGCAATGCGCAGTAGATTGGCGCGTAAAAATGCTTCATCGCCTTCTCCTCCACGTTTTGCCATTTCGTTCGCATGTTGTTCCAATGCTTCTCGTGCCTTACCACGGGCCAATCTCCACCCGGCTGCCATGGTTTGGGGGTGAAGACGATATTCCTGTTCCAATGTTTCGGCTTGTCGCAAGAGTTCTCCACTCAGCACGGCCACGCTGGTAGTCCCATCGCCCACTTGTTCATCCTGTACCTTGGCAATGTCGACGAGGACTTTGGCGGCTGCATTGTCGATATGAATGGAACGCAAAATGGTGGCGCCGTCGTTGGTCACTGTGAGAGCGGCACCATGAGAATTGGCAGGATCCACTTTTTGTAGCATCTTGTCGAGTCCTTTGGGTCCCAAGGTGGTCTTGACCAAATCGGCAATGGCAATTGCTCCCACATACGACGACAAACGGGCATTTTCGCCCTACCGTAGCAGAAGTAGTAGACACGACAAAAAGAGATTAGAATCGAATCCATTGACGAGAAAAAAAGAGACTCCTCCTCAGGACTGTCCATTCCATACCTTGTCCACACTAGTTCCTTGACCCAGATACGCTTGCTCCATCCTTGCTTACTTGGTTGTCTTAGCAACAACAATAGCACTCAAAAGCAGTAAGTCGACCAGTTGGAAGGAATGGAATGATCGAATGGGATCTTTCGCCATGGCCAACCAAAAGTTCGTCGAAACCAATGCTGTTAGTCCGTCCAACGTCCGTGTCATCTTTTAGTCTGGACGTCGTCCGTAGCTGTGTCATTCAAAGGCTAGCAATCCCGAACGCGAATAAAGCAGCTGCTTAGCAGAATTGTCATGATAATCAAATCCATGGTAAACAGTGTTCCAATAGCTCGCCAAGAGGCCATTTACACGATTGCTTTGGGGGCGCGTCCGGGGAAGCAGCCTAGTACTAATCTAGTGTGGGCTTAAAAGAAACAAGTGGATCAACCATTAAGTTTTGCCAGCTCACGGATGGACTCAGACGGTCATAATCGTAGTGTAAGAATTCACTAGCGCAAGAGGCTTAATCGTAATAGAAGGAAAAGACGCTTGAACAAATTATCCAAGAGCTAGCATTTCATTGGACCTTGGTTATAAGATATACAATTTAGATTCAACGCGGCAAAATATTGTCAAAATATCTCATAACCAAGGTATCTCACCATTTCATCGAAAAAGGCTCCATGCTTACCATTAAACCCCTTGCCAATAATGACCTTTTAACATTCTTTAACCACCTTGCAAACATTCGTGACTGTTCATCATGCCTGGCTGGTTGGTGCTGCTGTGTCCCTCAATGGAAACAGGGTTCCCCGCTAACCCAGTCAGGCCAGTGCCGATGACCGGATTTTGTTTGGCGCGCGTAGAACCGAACGCAATAGCTACCACCCACCCAGCAGAGGCGCGGGGGCGGCAATGGAAACTCTATGGTCCTTTATGATGGGCTTCTCAAGCTTGTGCCTGTGCCGTTGTTGGATCCCTGTGGGGTTGGGTTGCTGTTTGTTTGGTTTGCTGCTTGGCTCCTTTCTCGATCTGGTCTTTTGTTGCTCACTGTTTGCAACTACCAACCAATTTTGCAACACGGTCCTTTTAAGTTTTCGAAGCTACCAAGTGATTTGATAGCCCTCGAGTAAAACAAAGTAAACCAAAAACAAACAAATAGAAACAACAACAGCAACAATGAAGTTTATTCAAGTGTTGAACCTTTTCTTCCTGGCGGCCTCTGTGCTAGCTGACGGAGAGGGAGACCCCGAGAGAAACCGAGGTTTCTTCCGAACTCCCACCACGCCGGAACCAACACCGTCTCCTACAGAGGCACCTGCGTCGGGTGCTCCTTCGGATGGTCCCACGGATTCCCCCTCTGATTCCCCCACGGATGTTCCTTCCTCGGCTCCCACTGAGGGTTCCTCGGGAGAACCTACGAGTGTCCCCTCCTCTGCCCCCACCAACGCCATTACTGACAGTCCCACCCGAGCCCCCCACCCATCGGGTGCCTGTATCAAGACCATGGACGGAAGTGGCAAGTTGTGTCATTCCTTGATGAGTGATCATGAGGATGCCGCTGACGAGGAAGAAGTAGCCACCATTTGCGTAGAGTTGGTCGATGACCAGCTCAAGGCTACCTTTGAAGCCGTCGGCGACTGGTACATGGTCACCAACAAGTTCTGGTTTGACGATGAAGTCGGAACCATCCCTCGTCTTGGTGATGGATCCGTCGACATGGAATCCTTCCCCTATTTCCTCTGTAACTCGACCGGGTTCAAGGAATGGAGTTTTGATGCCGATTTCGAACCCATCGAATACTGTGACCGCCTCGATGTCTCGTCGCTTCAGATTGCCATGGTCGCCTACGCTGAGGTCGAAAAGCCAGGCCGCAATGGAAAAATGAAGCGCAGCACTGTCCAAAAAGTCTTTGCCTACGAACATTCTGTTGGGTACGGCAACACCTTTTTGGGATGGATGGACTTTGAGGTCGATTGTGAGTGTGGAAAGGAAGAAGAGAAGATGTGCGACACCACGCCAGAGATCTACTTGGATTCCCCCATCTCGCCTGCTTGTCACGCCATTGTAGCCGGTGGAGCAGATCAGCAGTCTGTCAAGGCTGGTGAAGTCTGTGTCGCTATTAATGACGACGGCAAGTTGGACGTCACCTTTACCGCCGATCATAAATGGACATTGCTCCGTTCCCAGCTTTGGGTCGGGCAAGATACGGAAGACGGTAATGGTCTCGCGGCCATGCCTCACAAAAAGTCCGGTGCCCCCGATACGCGAAAGTTCAAGAATTTTGCCTGTGACTGGGAGGGAGAAAAATCCGTCTCATTCACAATCGACTTGAAGTACGAGTGTATCGAGGAAGTGGAGGCCGTCAAGTTTTATGTCGTGGCCCACTCCAAGGTCGAACAAGTCACGGACACCGGGGAACTCATTCCCGGTACCGAGCAGGATGTGTTTGCCTATGAGTATTCCGGTGATAGTGAGAAGTGGTATGGTTGGTTCGATTTTGATATCGGATGCAAGTGTACCTTGCCACCCACCCAACCACCCTCCTCCATGCCATCCGAACTCCCTTCGGAAATGCCTTCCGACCAACCCTCGTTCTTCCCTACTGCCAACTACTGTGATTCCATGGTGGCGGACGAGGACGTGGACGAAGTCTGCTATGATATGACCGCTACCGAGGCATGGGAATCCGATGCCGGAACTGTCTGCATTTCCGTGCATGATTCCACCCTCCATGTGACCTACAGTGCCACCAACTATTGGGCCCTCTTTGGAACCGCTGTCTGGTGGGGCACCGATGCTTACAGTGGCCACCTCACGGATCAGATTCCCAAGATTGATGGATCCGAGACACCCGACTTGGATAAGTTCACTGCCATTACAGAAGACATCGAGGGTGCCACTGTGTACTCGGTCAAGATGCCTCTTCAGGAGTTGGAATGTGATCGTTTCAATCAAACGCTTATCACGGTGGTGGCTCAGGCCCTCGTTGGAGAAGCCTGTATTCCTCCCAATGGAACCTACATCTTGGGCACTGACCGCAATGCCTTTGGTGGAGATCAAGAAGTTACAGATGAGACCATGCCATACTACTACATGACAATGCCTCTTGGATGTACTTGTGAGCCACAGACACGTCAACCCAAGCTCCATCCATGTGAATACAAGCACTATGGAATGTTCACTGAGACACATTTGGACCTTCCTGTGCACACCGTTGAAAAGAGCAACCCCAGCTGTAATGATTTGGGATTCTCCTTTGGTTACAAGATGGAGGGATGCTACGGTGGAATGAATATCCCCTTCAAAGAGGATGATGATAGACACTTCCACAAGACCAAGGGGTACTGTGAAGACGGTATCTCTGAGCTCGGAACCTTTGACCTTCAGTGTGCAGCACCTGAAGATGGAAAGTACAACGAAGCCACGATCACCCCCAGCACAGACGCTTATGTCATCATGAAAGGCGGCGATGGAGCACTTGTGTACAGTCTCAAAGCCGGTGAGACTGTTACCATTGACGTTGGAGACGACGGCAAGGCGATCAACCACATGGAGTTCTGCTTCCTGTGCGATGAATGTTCAGAACCTTCATCCATGCCATCTGATATGCCCAGTTCAAGTCCATCTGAAATGCCATCCGTTGAACCTTCCTCGCTCCCATCTGAGTCCCCCAGTGAGAGCCCCTCTGCAACTCCTTCAATTGATCCTAGTGCAAGCCCTTCAGAGAGTCCTTCCATTTCACCCTCATCAACCCCTTCTATCGACCCCAGTTCAAGCCCTTCGGAAACCCCATCCACTTCGCCTTCTGCAACCCCGTCGGTATCCCCCTCAGAATCACCATCGGAAACCCCCAGTACTAGCCCCAGTTCCGGACCCAGCGTGGCACCCAGTACCTCGCCTAGTGCCAGCCCTAGTGAGTCCCCAAGTGAATCTCCAAGCAGCACACCCAGTACCAGCCCTAGTGAATCGCCTAGTACCAGCCCCAGTGAATCCCCTAGTACCAGCCCCAGTGAATCCCCTAGTACCAGCCCCAGTGAATCACCCAGTACCAGCCCCAGTGAATCCCCGAGTACCAGCCCAAGTGAATCCCCAAGCGAAACACCCAGTTCTAGTCCATCTGATCCCCAAGTGAATCACCAAGTTAGCTTCAACTTCACCCAGTGGTCTCCCAGTACTAGCCCCAGTGAGACTCCCTAGTCACTAGCCCTAGTGAGTCGCCAGTTCAGCCCCAGTGAATCACAGTACCAGCCCAGTGAGTCACCAGTACAGCCAAGTGAATCTCCAGTATAGTCCGTGAGTCACCGAGTTCGAGTCAAGGAGTTCCAAGCTCCAGCCCCGTGAGTCTCCAAGCTCCAGCCAGTTCGCTGCAAGTTCGCTGCAAGCTCTAGCCCAAGTGAATCTCCCAGCGAGAGTCCCAGTTCCACTCCCAGTACAAGCCCAAGCGAATCTCCTAGTTCCAGCCCCAGTGAATCCTAGTTCAGCCAGTGAATCCTAGTGAGTCGCCAGTACAGCCAGAGTCCAGCACCCCAGCGAGTCTCTAGTACAAGTCCCAGTGAATCACCAGTGCAAGTCAGTGAGTCACCCAGTACCAGCCCAAGTGAACACCAGTACAGCCCGAGTGAATCTCCCAGTACCAGCCCAAGTGAGTCACCAGTAAGCCAAGTGAATCTCCCAGTGCCAGCCCAAGCTCGAGCCCAAGTGAGTCACCAAGCTCTAGTCCAGTGAAGTCACAGTTACACCAGTACAGCCCAGTGAGTCTCCAAGTAGCACACCAAGTACTTCCCCAAGTGAGAGCCCAAGTGAGTCACCCAGTACTTCACCCAGTACTAGCCCAAGTGAGTCCCCAGTTCCTCTCCAAGTGAGTCACCAAGTGAATCCCCAGTAGCACCCCCAGTACTTCACCAAGCACTTCCCCAAGTGCATCACCAAGTGAATCGCCTAGCAGAAGTCCTTCGGCTACACCATCCATTAGTCCATCTGATGTGCAGTACGCCAAGTGAAACACCCACTGAAAGTCTCAACCCAGTGGTGTTCCCAGTGAATCACCTACCGACAGTCAGGCACCCAGTGAGTCTCCAAGTTCCACCCCCAGTGTGAGCCCAAGTGAGGCTCCGAGTGAGGCCCCCAGCGCTTCACCAAGCTCTTCTCCAAGTTCATCACCAAGCGAATCCCCCAGCGGTGCACCCAGTGCTTCTCCTAGTTCCTCTCCCAGTTCTTCACCAAGTGAAAGCCCCAGTTCCTATCCCACTGATAGCCCCAGTGCCCCACCAAGCACTTCACCAAGTTCAAGTCCAAGTGAGAGCCCAAGTACAAGTCCATCATCCAGCCCAAGCGAGAGTCCCAGTAGGAGCCCATCATCAAGCCCCAGTGAAAGTCCTAGCGAGAGCCCCAGTTCCTCTCCGAGTGCAAGTCCAAGTGAATCACCAAGTGCGGGCCCCAGTACTGCCCCCAGTGAATCACCCAGCTCCAGTCCATCTGAGTCTCCCAGTTCCAGCCCTTCAACCTCGCCAAGTGAGTCTCCCAGCACCAGCCCAAGTGGGTCTCCCAGTAGTACTCCTAGCAAGTCGCCTAGTCTTAGCCCCAGTGTGTCTCCAAGTACCAGTCCATCTGTGTCACCAAGTGAATCACCAAGTTTATCACCAAGTTCGAGCCCATCCACATCACCAAGTGAATCTCCAAGTACAAGCCCAAGTTCGAGCCCAAGCTCCAATCCAAGTGAGTCCCCAAGCTCCACCCCCAGTACATCACCAAGTTCTGCCCCTAGTGTGGCCCCAAGCTCTGGCCCCAGTGAGTCGCCCAGCTTGAGCCCCAGTGGATCGCCAAGCTCAAGCCCAAGTGAGTCTCCCAGCTCAAGCCCAAGTGGATCACCAAGCTCAAGCCCAAGCGAATCCCCTAGTACCAGCCCAAGCGAATCCCCTAGTACCAGCCCAAGTGAATTGCCAAGCGCAAGCCCGAGTGAGTCGCCAAGCACAAGCCCTAGTGAGTCACCCAGTGTTGGCCCAAGTGCTTCTCCCAGCTCTTCACCAAGCAGTAGTCCCAGTGCTTCTCCCAGTTCAAGCCCTAGTGAATCTCCAAGTGCCAGCCCTAGTGAGTCTCCAAGTGCCAGCCCTAGTGTTGGACCCAGCGTTTCTCCAAGTTCAACACCAAGCACATCACCAAGTTCAAGCCCAAGCCAGTCACCCAGTGAGGCCCCGAGTGAGGCACCTAGCGAGGCTCCTAGCGAGGCACCCAGCGAAGCACCAAGTGAGGCACCAAGCGAATCACCAAGTGTCGAACCCAGCTTGGGTCCAACAGTATCCCCATCTAGTGAACCTAGTTTGGGACCAACGACCACTCCATCTAGTTCCCCCAGTGAGTCACCAAGCATTTCTCCTAGTTTGGGACCCACAACCACCCCATCAAGTTCACCGAGTGGCAGTCCCAGTGCAACACCTAGTGTTGGGCCTTCTGCATCTCCATCCATTGGACCCAGTAGTTCCCCTAGTGGCTCGCCAAGTGTAGGTCCAAGTGCAAGTCCCAGTGCGACACCTAGTGTTGGGCCTTCTGCGTCCCCATCCAGTGGACCCAGTAGTTCCCCTAGTGGCTCGCCAAGTGGTGTAGGGTCACAGCGAAAGTCCCGTGCGGAACCTTGATGTGGGCCTTCTGCATTCTTTTTTTTTCAGTGGACCGTCAGTTCCCTAGTGGTCGCCAGTGGTGGAGGGGGCCCCCGCCAGTTGCATGTCCAGTGCACGACTGTGTGGCTCTGCATCTCCATCGATCAGTCCATCAGTTGCTCCCTCTGGTTTCCATCTGCACTTCCACCCAAGTATACATGTGAAATCATGGGTTGACATGACTATCCACCATTTGCCTGAAGACATGGGGGATTGGCCGATTTGGATGTCTATGGAAAGTTAAGTTTTTAATTCTTGAGTGTACACATCAGGGCTGCGGGTGTGATGTGTTGGCGCTCA